CCCCAAAACCCCAAAACCCCAAAACCCCAAAACCCCTACCCTTTATTAATTTATAGAATATTATTTTATAACATAAATGCTAGAAGGAGAAGAAATTGAAAATTTAAAGGAGTTCCGTAGTGATGAAGGTAAGTTCTTTCTAACCAATTGTCATTCCTGATTCTGCGACATAAAATGATTCTCCACACTTGACAAATATTCAGGAATTAAGAATTAAAATTTACTTTACAAGCGTTAATAAATACATATTAAGCAGCTTGTAGAGATTTATTTTATCTAATAGCATTGATTGTCCTATTCCAAAACCTAAATCTCTATTATTTACTTTTACTGTCATCGTGTAAGACATTCCAAATTGGATAGCATTAGCAGGAGCAGGAATTTCTTTCAATATTTTCCAAATAACATTTGAAATAATAATTTTGTCGATGACCATTATATATGAAAATCTTAAAAATATGTTAAAATTTGACTTAAAACTCATCGAGAAGGTAGCTTGAGATATCTAAAATTTGTCATATCCCAGATACCAGTGGGAGAACCTTGATCTGAATAATTCATATAGAAAGGACTGAAAACTGGAACGAGAATTTACGATCAGGTAGGCCAACGAATTATTCATAAATCTCATTAAAAATAACTTTGACTTGAGCTAACCTATTTTTCTAGATTGCTTATCCCCTCTTGAGGCGAATGGATTTGAACCTGAGATTCCAAAAAATGAAAGGATGGCTATTAATGGTATGGTCTGAGAGTTCTTCTTTCATAATATATAGATTTAAAAATAACAAAGTCACTTAGTTCTAATAAAAATCGAATTTCCTCAAACAAATAACTCTCTGGAATCAAATAGTGATTTGATTAAGTCACGGCATCGAGTGAATTCCAACAATGGGCCGAATATGGATACTTACAAGTTTCCAAAGCCAACAAATTCTAAATCTCTTGGGCACACAAAGAACGTGCCTAGTGATACAAACCTACTGCAGAGTAGGCAGGAGGAGAGCCCAGCACGCCGCCGGAGATGCCCCAGTCCTAACTTCCGTAGGAAAGGCACTATTCTACCGATGAAATTTGGTGATTCTACTACTACCCCTCCAACACCACAAGGATTTAGCCTGAAGAAGTTCATGGAAGAAAATGAGAAGAAAAATCATGAAGCTTCACAGAAAATAGAAGGTAGATATGACCTCTAATAATATAGCTGATACACTCTCTACTGACTCTAACAGCGGAGATCTTGAAAATAGGTAAGGGATCACTATTTGAGAGGTTAAGTTATGGTTCAAATTCCACAGAAATCATTATTTTTGTATGATTTTTGTTTTAAATAAGCAAGATAAAGAAAATAATCAGTCTTGTAATTCATTTAGTTATAGTAACCCTAATTTTAACCCTTGAAAATAGCCAAAAACTCTCTTTATTTAATAGGTGACTTTGAAGAGTTCATGACAAGACAAGGATTAGGTGGGACCTTTTCATAATGCTATGAGCAATTTGGAATAGCATCCAGATTCCATATAGCATTGCTTTCACACCGGACTCAGATTCAGGAGTATTCGATATAGTCACTAACTTAATAATGGATAGTTTCTTTATTGTAGATATCATGCTAAATTTTCGGACTACTTACTTAGACGAAGAAAATGGAATAGAAATAGCCTCTAACCGTAAAATTTGACTGCAGTACATAAAAGGTAAATTATTGATTCTTGAGCAATTTTAACATTCTCAAAATTTCGAAAAGATAATGAGGGACTGCCAAATTTCAAAATTTAACTCAAATTTATGAAATCCCTTATTATTAGAATTCTCTCGTAAATTAAAGGTTTAAAGCAGTCATCATACCAATATAGGGAGATTTTGGATAGACCTGGTCTCATCGTTACCAACAGACATAATTCTGCTAGCCTTTAACCCTGGAAGTGGCATAGAGACAACCTTGATTCTACTAAAGTTACTCAAGTTAATCAGGCTTTCGCGTCTCTCAAGAGTAATAACCTACCTCAATTTTAAATCAAATGTAAAAATGTCCTTGAGGTTGTTCCAACTCATATTTTTCTTGATCCTATACTTTCACTTAACAGCATGCTTTTGGTTTTATATCACAAGGGATAACAAGAGGTGGATACCTCCTTATGATGAAAATAATGACGGTAGCAATATCTATGAGTCGAGTAGCTTCAGCCAATACTTAACTTCGATCTATTACTCTATCCTCCTACTGGCAGGAAATGATATGCTACCTCAAGGTGATAGGCAGATTATGTTCTTATCCATAGCGCTCTTCGCTGCAGCCATAATCAATGCCAATATTTTCGGAAATATTGCTGTGCTCTTACAGCAAATTTATAGAAAAACCGCGCAGTTTCAGGAGAAGGTAGAGAATGCTACCTCTACTATGAAGAACTTGCATGTACCTGAAAATTTGTCAAAAAGGATCCAAGAATATTTAACTGAAACTCAGAGTACTCTGGACCAGCAGACAGAGTTTGATAACTTCTTGAGTATTCTTTCTCCAAGTCTAAGAATCGAAGTCACGAAGCATATCTTCCATGAGTCCTTATTAAGCATTAATGTCTTTAATAATAAAGTAGAAGTTATCAACTATATCATCCAAGATTTGCATACAGTGCTGTACTTTCCTGAAAACGAAATCTGAAGGCAGGGCTCTAACCACAAAGAGCTTTACTTCCTCGCCAAAGGCGAGGTAGATGTCTTTGTTGTTGATGAGAACCAGCAGACTAAGTTCATCCAGACTCTAAACTCTGGTGAATACTTTGGAGAAGTTGCTCTTCTCAAAGACTGTGCCAGGACTGCTACTGTCAAAAGCCAAGGGTACTCCACCTGAGCATCACTAGAAAGCCAAACATTTCAGAAGCTGCTGGAAACATATTCTTTTGTCAAATAAATCTATGGAAAGAAAGATTCATGAAAAATATCAAGATAAATGGAGGAAGTTTGTGAAAAGATCTCTGAGAAATGTCGAGTTTCTAGATAAATCAGTACCTGAAGATCTAATAGAAGAGCTCTCGTTTAAAATGCAATTCAAAAATGCTTCAAGAGATGATTATATTTTTAAGAGCGGAACACCGTGAAGAAACATTATTATCATTGCAAGCGGAAGAGTCGAAATTTTGATCATGAATAATAATAATGGCGATGAAAGCTACCTTGATACTCTTTATTCAGGATGAACTATTGGCTCTTATAGCGTTCTCAACAATGATGACTACTGTACCAGTTGCAAGGCTCTCACGGATGTGACTTACCTCACACTTGATTTCACAATACTAGAACAAATGAGGCTAGTTTATGAAGAGCTAGATGACAGCATGTGAGAGCTTGAAGACTACATCGAGAACTATCAATTACCATATTGTGATTACAAACTTCAGAGAGGAAAAGATTGGGACTTAAAGCCAATCCAGAAGTTCCAAAATGGTATCAACAGAATTATCAGAATAGTGAAATCCTACCAATCTAACACCTTCACGAATCTTCTGAAGAAGGTTCAAGATAGAATTAAGAAGGAAAGAAATCTCAAAATAAAATAGGGTTTAAACACAAAATTATGAAAGCAAATCCTCAAAATTTTGAGGAGAAAATGGAAAAATTAATAATAGAGCAATCAATTCAGCTCCAAAAATTAACTGAAATTGTGACCCAGCAGAGTGCTAAAATAGCAAAACTTCAGGCATGACAGCATTTCAGATGAGATGCTTGTGGGACTATGAATGGGATCGATAAGACCGACCCTAAAATTAAGGTTCCGTATCATGGAGGAATTTCAAAAACTCCACAAATACCCAGGCATTATTCTATTATCGAAGAGAAAATCCCTGATGCTGGTCTCACAAAACTCGAAGAAATTAAGGAGTGTAATAATAAGAGAAGTTATACATCAAATGATAATATTAATGAACTACTATTTTCCAAAAAGAGAATTTCTGCTAGTAACTATATTGTGGAGAAATCATCAAAAAGTTTCTAACAATCCAAAAGAGCCTTCAGAAATGCATAGCATAAGGACTATTAGCAGTCCACAACTGCAGAGCTCCAGTAATCTTCATATCTATGAGGAAGGAAGCCAGAAGATAAGGAACATGAAACCGAATAAGCCTCTGACAGTTCCTCCAAAAATGCCTAATAGTAATCCCAGTTCTTTGATAAAATCAAGAATGCATAGCTCGTTTAGGCCGGATTCTCATAATAAGAGTAGCAGAGAAGTATCAGAAGATAAGCAAAATATATCTAGTGATGATAGCATTAAGAAGAGCCCTGACAAGCCTCCACCAATACTGGGATTGAAAATCTTGAGCTCAAGGTTCCAAAGTGTGAGCTCTGATAGTAAATTGATGAGCTCCTCTCATAAAGCCCAAGCTCTAGCTGAAAAGCATCAAGATGATGAAATAGAGATATTTAGTAGCTTTAACTCTGATGATAAGTCGTCTTAGTAAGAGAATGACTCAATGAGGAAGATATTGTCAACTCCTGATCCAAAAATTTAGCTCATATAATATTGTTATATTCTACTAGTTATTTAAAAGTCAACTCAAAGGAATACTCATGGGGTTTTGGGGTTTTGGGGTTTTGGGGTTTTGGGG